CCCTCAGTTATTTCTGTGCACTTAAAGTAAATACCATATCTTGAATTATTTGTCAAAAGCGCCGGAACTGTGTACTCATTGTGTAGCTTGTAGCTTCTCGGAGTATATATGCGAACGAACCAAACATCAACGAAGCAAATACAAACCGGATAATTAAATAAACGCTGTTATTTTTATCAGTTTTCTCTGTTTTACGCGGTCATAATGTCTGATGAGGAGGAGGACTACATGTCTGACGCATTTCTCAGTAAAATGTGAGCGTTTTGTGTCTCTGCTGTTTAAATGTTGTCACATTAGGAACTAATAAAGCAGCTTATTGCTCTTTTGTATCAGTCCTGCAAAGTTAAACCTAATTCTGTCTGTTTATAGACGAGTTTACATATCACTCCTATGTACATATAACTCCTATTCTTATTGTTCTGTTTCTCCTACATCTTATATTGTTTTATTTGTATTTAATGTGTATTTTCTTATCTTATCGGGTTGTGTTTTCTCCAGTGTGGGATCAATAAAGTCTGTCTTATATTATCTTATTTATCTAAATCACTGTTTTTTTTTCTCAACCCAGTATCTTTTCCTTTGCTCTTCTGTCTGTCAGACAAGATGTGAAACCAGGTGTCAGCATGGTGAGGCGGGTGAAGGAGGCGATGAAGAAGGAGACACAGCAGAAGGAGACGAACATCAAGAACCGTCAGAAGACCTTCAAGGAGCAGTCAGAGGAGAGCAGAGAGGTAGCTTTACAAAGCTCCATTAGCAATGAGAACAAGGGATTCGCACTTCTGCAGAAAATGGGTTACAAAGCTGGTCAAGGCCTCGGGAAGCAGGGTAAATTTAATCATTACTGGATCATCTTGTTTTTAATCTGTTTTGCATTTGTTGTGTGTATAACATGTTCGTCTCTGTCACCTCTCCAGGAGCAGGGAGGGTTGATCCAATTCCTCTAAATGTCAAAACCGGTAGGCGATACATTTGTCCGTTTTTAAAGTGCATTTGAACCACCAAGCGTGGTCCGACTGATGTGTTACAGTGTCCATGTACTCTTTTTCTTTGTATGCGAAACCAGACAGAGGCGGCATTGGAATGGAAGAGGTGAAGAAAAGAAAAGCTGAGGAGGAACTCGAACATTATCGGCAGAAAGTGCGAGCCAAACAACAGAACGAGACCAAATCTCTGGAGGATTTTAGGTGAAGTCTTTGAGATGCACTCTGCTGCTAAACACCGTCCTCCCTCCTGTACTACCATTGTTTTGTAGCCTGTGAGTGCAATCTCGTGCTTTTTTCATTATTTCAGGTCAAGAGTGAGGACGGAGAGAGAAGAGCGAAAGATTGAGGGAGATCTCAGAAGGAGTCAGCGAGCCTGTGAGCAGCTCGACAGTCAGAAGGTGGAAGGAATTATGGTTATAGCTTCAGTACATCACAGTGCTAATGCTGTTTTTACAGATCTATGTTCAGTCTATCTTCAGTGAGCATGAATGAACTGCAACTGCAACTCTTTGCACCTTACCTACCTATTTATCTTATTTATCTTTTCTATCTTAATATAAGTTTTCATTCTATTGTATTTTAATGTACCTGGCTGTTATGACGACCCAATTTCCCTTTGGGGGTTAATAAAGTCCTATCTATCTACTATCATCATCTATCTATCTATCTGATCTATCGTATCTATCTATCTATCTATCAAATGTGCCACGAAAATGACACTAATTAATGCAGAAAAAAGAACATTTATTTTCAGTAAAGAAGCAGCACTTTTGGTTTTCTGTGTGTGAATCCTTTTTCTGAATTGTCTTTTCAGGGCATCACTGTCCCCAGGGAAGACTGGTACTGGCCTAAAGAGGAGACTGATGATGAGGAAGATGAAGATGATGATGAAGATGATGATGAGGAGGAGGAGGAGGAGGAGAAGGAGGAAAAGGAAGAAGAGGAGATAGTGGAATTAACAGTAAGTATTTAGTTTACCTTGTTTATTTGGTGATGTAATGTGTGTGTAATCCCAATATATGAACCAAAATCAATGTTGTCAAGTAAATGTGTGGTAATATGTCATCAAAAACTTCTAATCCAGAGTAAAATTAAAAAGTTTGATGTGTGCTTCTCTGTTACAGTCCTTTGACAAACTGCAAATTATTACGTCCTATTTGAGAGGACACCATTTTTACTGCATATGGTGTGGGACCACCTATAATGGTAAGAGCGATGGCAACATGTTTGTTGTTTTATTGCTTTTATTGCCTTTGCTTAAATACATATTTTTCCTTTTTTCACAGATGAAGAGGACTTGTGCTCTAACTGTCCCGGCGATACAGCAGCAGACCACGAATGAACTATAATTAAAATAATTGCAGTAGTTTTCAGGAAAAAAAACTACTGCAAATACAAATGTTTGTTTCTGTTTATTAATTTATCATCCTAGGACTTCGATGTTCATGCTGTTTGTCGGTGGAGGTTTTGACTTTTTCTTTACATTTAGAAATCCCGCGGGAAATGTTAGGATACCTTTTTAATGTTTATATTTTGGAAAGATGTACTAAGATTTTTGAGACATGTTTCAAGAGCAACTGCATACATGTGTTTTTATTAAATGTTTCAAGAATTAAACCTTTTTGTTTTGTATATTGTTTTATTTTAGGTTCTTATAATACAATAAACTACTACTCGACAAGATGTAGGAGGTTGTTTTACTTCTGATATTGCCATTTATTTTACGTGTGCTCTTAATTTATATGGCTCTTAAAAATGTTCATAATTTAGTAACCTGATCATTATTAGACTTAGACAGACTTTATTTGTCATTTGGATTTGCATCAAAATGAAATTACATTACAATGACACATAGCGCAACAGGAATAGAGGAGAGGCAGTATGTACAGTCGAAAAAAACAGATATGCAGATATAAAACCTATATAAAAAAACCTGTAGATAATATATATTGCACAATTTTAGTTGCCTATGTAAAATTACTATATATATTATTATTATGTTATTTGATAACGTAATATTGCTGTTTGACATAACTTATTACATAAAATACATTACAAAAGACTGTCCTAAGGCATTTATTTGTCTGACTGGGAAAGTGGAAACAAAACTGTAT